ATGCCCCAGAGAGCGAGGCCCCAACTTCAACTCTTTTGTGTATTACACCAGTGGCAAGACATAATGACACAATGTGATTTAGGAATGGATGCTTTATGCTTAACTATCCAATTGGCTGTAACACCTACATGCAACATAGAGTGACWGCAATTCTAGCCATTCATGGAGGTGCTGTCAGAATGGGTGACAYAGGGTGAGGGAGATATAAGGAGAATGCCRTGAGACGTCYTCAGACTTGAGGGTGACAATTGCTCATGTTACTCTGGTAGCTGGTATATTGCTCCACCTTCTGGTCTCCTTGATGCATCAAGTCTATATTTAACTCTTCTGCGTATCAGCTGCCGCCCAAGTTCTCACCAGCTTCCAGAAAACTTCCATAGCAGTGCACTGCACTTCAAACAAAATTAAACAAAAAACAGTGAGATGAGGGGACGGTACCTGTGTTAATTATGGAGGGATACTACCCAAGGAAAAAAAGGAATATTGTACTTCTACTCACAATGGATAACGTCTCTGTGATTAAAATATTTTACCTTTCAGGTTTAACTGAATCAGTAAACTACAGGTTTATTCTCTTCTYWCTCASTTTRTTGTGTTACTGTGTCATTTTGCTGGYAAATMTWWCTSTTATTGTGACCATCATCTCGGATAAAAACCTCCATGAACCAATGTATATTCTGCTGTGTGTATTTTGCATGAATTCACTTTATGGAACAACAGGTTTCTTCCCCAAATTTCTGTGGGATCTGCTCTCTCCTGTTCATGTCATCTCTTATTCTGGATGTCTCATTCAGGTTCAGGTACTGTACTCATTTGCAGGCGGTGATCTCTCCATTCTTGCAGTGATGGCATATGACAGATATGTGGCTATATGTCGACCATTGGAATACCACAATATTATGTCCMAAARAAATATCCTAAAGTTWGTGTGTTTCTTCTGGTTCACACCTTTCTGCCTCATGGYCATAAATGTTTCTCTRACAWCMAGACTGAAGTTATGCAGCCCGTATATTGCCAGACTCTTCTGTGTGAATTGGATYATTGTTASACTTKCTTGTTTCCCAGCTGAAACYATTRTTAACAACRTARKTRCATWTATTWCAATKTTMRTTTATGTATCTCWTGGTGTATTTATAGTTTGGTCCTACATATATGTCATTAGAACATGTGTAAATTCTATAGAAAACAGGGCAAAGTTCATGCAAACATGTGTGCCACATTTACTCTCCTTGATCACTTTTCTTTTAACTWTATTTTTTGACTTTATTAATTTGCGATTTGGTTCAAAATATTTACCTCAGCACCTTCAAAACTTTGCTGAAATAGAATTTCTTGTCATACCTCCCGTTATGAATCCTCTCATTTATGGTTTCAAACTGACCGAAATTCGGAAGCGATTACTTGTTTTTACCAGCTGATGGCTGTTATTTTGAAGTTAGTAACCTGTCATATCCTCTGACTAACAAATTGAAGTTTTGCTGTTGCATCAAATATACATGTGATAAGATTTGAATGTCTTTTTAGAAGAAAGTTTACATTCCATTGGATTAAAAATTGTATGTACAGAATGTCTGCTGATTAACCGTGTGTTTTATATAGTACTACTTTAAAAGATGATAGAAACTTTCTAAAAGATTATTCTGCATTGTAACATTTTCATTTTGGATTTACATGATTTCCATTCATTCGATGGTTCTAGTCAACTACGCAGTTATTCACTTTGTTTGGAAACTTGTCAAAAACAAATACTTTGCTGTACATATTAATATGTATGAATGTATTTAGGACATAAATTGCTTGCATGGCGTGTCTTTCCTGATATCTAAAA